GAGAGAGAGAGAGAGAGAGAGAGAGAGAGAGAGAGAGAGAGAGAGAGAGAGACTGTCTGTTTATTTGCATGATATCTCATGAACCACCACACACATTTTCATCAAGATTTCAGAAAATTATCACCGACAGCTACAACTCTTTGATCTTTGGAATGAACCCAATTCAAGATGGTCGCCACAGACAACTRAACATAGAAAACACAAATGTGGCTATTAATCAGTCAGTGCAGATATTGAGCTAAAGTCTGAAATGGTTGTAACTGACACACACTCTCTAAAAACTTCACATTGCACAATGCGTACAATCTGTTTTAACCTTTTCTTATTTTATCATTAACTTCTGGCCAAGTAGCCTGGCCCTTGCCTTCCTAYGCAGCTCCGCTCAATTCTAGTTTCCCTTCACTGCTCCGTCTKGGACTTCTYCCATWGACAAGGATTTYGCTGGCAGATTTTTAGCCGGGCCAATCAGAGAACAGAACATCAATTTTCTGCRCAGTGTCTGCTTGTAGTTTATTTTACCTGGGCCAATCAGAGAACAGAAGGAGGAGCTTTGAACGACGTTGACTTTCTGTGCAGTGTCTTGTTAGTTATTTTAGCATACGGCAGTGGAGGAAGTGAATGAAGCCAGTCCGTGTTGATAAGGTTTCCAAATTAAAAAAATAAATCTGTCTGACAAAGTAGCAGCTCTCATTTACTGTCCTCTTGTTCGGCTCGGTACTTCTCTCCTCTCAGTAGGGTTATTTACAGCACACACGATTTCCAGTTAGCTTCTTAGCTTAGCCTCCGTCACAACCACAAACGTCGCAGCCAACTGATTCAATCATTTTAAACTTCAGCAGAGGCCACGCCTCCTGCAAGAAATCGATTCTCCATGCATCAAGTCCAGACCCTTGTTCGAAGCAAAGTGAAGGACAGGGTCTGGTTTAAACCAGGCTACTGGCCAAGTAGTATGTTGGAAAAAAAAGTACAAAATTTTAAGAACCGCCCCCGCTGCTTACAAATTTTACCAAAATTTACTAAATTGATGTACAGCTGGGAGCAGAAATTGTGGCAAGACACAGTAAAAAGTGCTACCCATCTCCTCTAACCAAACCGGTGACTTCCTCTGTCTCCAATAAAATAATTGCGGTCACCTCACAACCCCTTGCTCACTCATGAATGTTTACAAAATTTACATAGAGAGAAAAACTTAACTTATGGACGGAAATGTCTGTTCAGTCTTGGCAAACTCAGAAATCAGCACCATGCCCTGGAGGCATCCTGAGTGGTCGCTACCTGAAAGAAGGCATCAGAAAACCTAAACAACACCCTTCCAGCTAAAAGCCTGTTGCTGGCATTGACCTTTGTTTGTCTGTTAGCAAAATATCTCATGGACCACTGGATGCATTTTTATGAAAATTTTAGAAACTAAGAAAATATCAATCACAAGAAACAAATCAAAAACCAAACACAGCAATGGCTGTAACTTAGTCATTCCGTCTTACGTATGAAGCTAAAAGTACATGTATGTTAATAACTATCAGCCTCGATACACAAATCTAAGGATTAGCAAACATTGTGATTTATTGAAATATTGCTTGGGATATAATGTTGTTGTTGTTGACAGCATAGTGGCTCAGTTATATATGTTGCCTCTCAGCAAGAAGGTTGGCAGATCAAATCCCGGCTTGGGACCTTCCTGGGTAGAGATGGCATGTTCTTTCTGTGCAAGTGTGGGTTTTCTCTGGGTACTCCGGTTTCTTCCCACAAATCAAAAACATGACTCTTTTGAATTAAACGGTAACTCGAAATTATCCTTAGGTGTGAGCAAGAGAGTAAATGTTTGTCTGTCTCATTTGTCTCTATGTGTGGCCCTGTGATGGACTTGCAACCTGTCCAAGTTGTACCCCACCACTGACACCCATCACCCTGAAAGGAAGATGTGGGTATAGCTGAAAGCTGGATGGATTGATATAATATTGTTTACAGGCTTAATCAAAGTGGCTCTACCTAGCGTGAGGTGATCTTGGGGGGGGGGGCAATCTGCAATCTTTCAAGCAATAGGTCGGTTAATGTCAATGGAGTTATTGCTTGCAAACATTACAAAACAACTTGYATTTTACCATTACTACATGCAAATGAAATGCTGTTGTAGTGATGGCTTTATTGTGGTTTCTAAAAAGCAGTTGGCTTATCACATAACATGATAAATCAAAGATTGAATTTATTCTTTACATGGGAAATATRGTTTTAATGTTTGACTGATCTGGTAATTACTAGGAAAACATGTTTTAATGTTGACAGAATGACTTGCTCTTCAGTCACACTGAGCGATGATTGCTTCTGTTTGCTGCTGCTCCTYTCCATCCTTGCGTCAGCCTTCTTTGCTGTGTTATTTGAGATTTCTTGTTTCTCTAATGCTATGGCCTTATCGGCCTTGGGGTTTAATTAAATTGGCCTTTCTCTGTTCCCTCTGAAAAGCATATGATGTCAGTGCCTTCTGTATTGATTGTAAATGCTCAGCAGAGTGAGAAACTGTAAAATGTCTAAGAGAGTGATACTGCAGGTTGTAGCATGAAATTTCTTAATTGTACYAAAGATAGTGATGGAACATTACTAAGTGGAATTCCTGCATCTGTATTTTTTTAAACTCACATGTGTTTCTGTGCACAAAAACAAGGTCAAAAGGATGTAGCATTTTCCTGCATATAAATAATCATTTCTGATTAGATTTCACTTGTTCCTATGACTGCTCAGAGAAAGGAAGAAAATCCCACTTTAACTTCAGACTATTTCTAAAGGCTTTTGCATGGAAACTTCCTTTGTGGCTCGAATTAACATCTTTTACACCAACCCCCACCAGGCTACGCCTACTTCTGGTACCGCCATCAGCAGAACAAAAGCGTAAAAGTGAACATTTGTCCTGGTGACACACAGGTACTCAGACGTAATTTGATTCTTATCTTTGTATGAGATTTGGTAAACTAAACAATTTTCCTACCTAATTTAACAAGGACCCCCTTAGTTAAATCCTCAGCTAAAAGCAAACTCACCTCACCTCACTCCAAGCCTCAAACTSACCTCTCAGGGTTTATTTTATGTTTATTTGTTGTTTGTTTATTTGTTTGTTTGTTTTGTCGTTATTCATTCGTGATTGCAAACTCTTTCAGTTTTTACTGGTTCAACATGTCATCACCCGTTACTCACCATAGTTGTAAATACATTTAATCTGTAAATACTGTAAATGGCCCGTGGAGAACGTGCCAACATAAGCTAATCTCATTTTTTGTCTCGATAAAGTATTACTGGTTCTGATAAGACAAGAACTCATCAAACCATTTTGGGTACATTTATTGTGARACTGATTACAATAAAGTTACAGGTTTTCGTCTCTTTCCTGGGTTAATCCTTGACCAAATTAAGAGCGTGGTGCCTTGAGGTAAGATAATTTGTGTATTTAAATAATTCACAAATTATCCATTTTAGAATATACCCAAAACCCCTAAAAGGAAATATTGCTTTGTCCTTTGCATGGGCTTGTGGAAGACAGAGTTTGAACGACAACTAAATGAGATAGTTTTTTTTTCCTGCAAAGACAAAAAGCTTCACGTCTATTTTGTATACAAGCTGAAGTTCTGACATTTTTTCTAGTCTTATATANTATATATATATTATTGTACTTCAATCTCTTTGTTATAAGGCAATGGTATTGTACAACGTCTGACCTTCTGTTCATTTTTGGGGTCAGTTAAGAGCTGTGTCTTGTTTGAGTCAGAGAAAAACAGCTACAGACGAGYGGGGCTTTATCATTTACCCAGAACTCAAACATCATATTGGCTGGAAGCCTTATCAGAGGTTCCCTTTGTGTGTTTGCTCTTGTTTATATGTGACTTCCATTACAGACTGTGCTTTTGGGATTCCGATCATTGTGTGAATGCTGATTCGGCATTCACAGTAGTCTTAGCTATTTTCCCTTTAATGGAACGACATCTGCAATCTTACTTTGTGCTATTTTATCTATTCATAAATGAAGACATAGCAGTCATCTCCCGAATAAATTAAATACCTTTCAATTTTGTTAGTGTTTTTTAT